TTAGTTTGAAAAGTTTAGGAGATGTAAAAGAAGGAAAAGGCCGTAAAGGTGCATTACCAAGGTATTAGAATTGCTTAAAAATCTTCAATTTTGCAAATAATAAAATAATAAAATGAAAAAATATATTCTTTTGTTTAGATTTCCAAATAAACCCGATATGCTAGTACCTTATGAGCAATTAGATCTTAGAAGAAAAGTATTAGAAGAATATTTGACCAATTTATTAAAAATAAAAATCTATTTGCATCATCCAGAAACAGTAAGTTAATAGTTGACTTTTTTATGTTAATAATATTTACTAACAATATAAAATATTTTTAGATCAATTTTTTAGAAGTCTCGCATTTATCATTTATAGAAGATTTAGGAATGAAAGGCAAAGAAGGTACTATTTTAAAACGAACTGGATCAGGTGCAAGAACTAGATGTAATTTTTGCGGTTTGCTTGAAGGCATGTGTTGTATTAGATGTAATCATTTTTGTACATCTTTATGTGGAAAATGGCATTCTCGACATCTCGTTGTTAAAGATACTTTTGTTGCCTATATTAGGCCCAAAAATGGTAGCATAAAATCGGTAATTTTAATGGATAATGGGTTTGGAGTCAGTTTTGGCATGTATACAACAGGTTTAAGAAATGGTATGCAAATAGCAAATCTTAGCAGGCATATATTAATCAAATGTTGGACAAGAAGAAAGGCTAAAGAATGGATGGAATTTATACAAGAAATCAGTAACAAGGAAGGTAAGTTTTTTTAAATTAATGCAAAAACTAAAAGATAAAAACTCAAATTAATATTAATATAATATATTATATTGTAATAGGTCGAGATTTTATACAATCAAATCCACACAATTCGTTTGCACCTTATCGTTCGCCTATAGCAGCTACATGGTTTGTTGATGGATCAAGTTATATGTCTGCTGTTGCAGATGCATTAGAAAATGCCAAGGAAGAAATTTTCATTGCAGATTGGTGGTTATCACCAGAAATTTATATGAAAAGACCTGTTTCTGACGATTATTGGCGACTAGATAAAATATTAGAAAGAAAAGCTGTAAGTATTATTTAAACTTTATTTTTATACTGAATATTGAATAAATTTTGCTATTCTATTAATGCTAACTAATAAAATTCAGGACTTTTGGTAAAACATAAAATATTTTCACTAATTTAATGGAATTATTATTATTGTTATTATATTTATAATGATCAATTTTTTATTTAGTCTAACGGAATCAAAGTATTTATAATGATCTATAAAGAAGTAGAAGTTGCATTGGGCATAAATAGTTTTTATAGTAAACAACGATTAGTTGAAAAATGTCCTGAAAATATAAAAGTATTACGTCATCCAGATCATGCAAGAGTAGGAATATTTCTCTGGGCACATCACGAAAAGATCGTGATTGTTGATCAAAACATTGCTTTCCTTGGTGGAATCGATTTATGTTACGGCCGATGGGATAATAATGAACATAGATTAATAGATTTGGGTATATAATACATAAAATTAAATATTTCTGGCTATCATTATTAATTATGATTAATTGTATTTTTTTTTTTAATTATATTTTTAATTATAGGCAATACTCATCAATCTAGCATTTATATTCCATCTAAAGGAAAATTTACCAATACCAGTAGTAAAAAAATATCATGCGCTAATATTAATAAACATGTTTTACTGCCACTGGCTATTGCAACTAACACAGTTGTAATGGCTACTACGAAATCTATACCAGTATTGTAAGTTCTTTTATTACTATTTTTCTATTAATTTTGCATTTTTTAAATTAAATGAACTTAAATATTAACATTTAACATTTTATTATTATTATTATTTTCTCTTCTTTTAGACCAATGATAAGCAATAAAACATCGCCAGCATTGCCACAATTGAATGCTGGAGATTTATTACTAATGCAACCTTTAGAAAAATCAGATACTATGAAATGTGATACTCCAAATACAGAACGTAAAAATTTATTTGGCATGGCAAAAGATACTATGGACAGAATGAAACATAATATTAAATTAAAAAGACAAGAATTAATTAATATGGTATATAATCCATATGAAGGAAGTAGTGATGAAGAAGATACAATTGATAAGTAAGCTTATATTCTATTAAAATATCAAAATTAAAAAATTTATATCTTATAAAGAAATTATTTATTTTCAGTAATACAGTACAAACTGCAATTGAAAGTAATGAATCAGTGACATATAGTGGAGATGTATTTTTAGAATATCCAGCTGTATCTAAACTTTGGCTAGGAAAAGATTATGTGAATTTTATTGTTAAAGACTTTAATGATCTCGAAAAACCTTATCAAGATCTAATAGATAGAAGCACTACTCCTAGAATGCCGTGGCATGATATAGGAATTATGGTACAAGGTGCAACAGCAAGAGATGTTGCTAGACATTTTATTCAACGTTGGAATGCAATTAAAGTAAGTTTTCAATAACAATCTAACAATTAAATATTTAAATAATTCATATTTTATTAGATGGAAAAAGCAAAATTAAATCCGTGTTATCCATTTTTACTTCCAAAATCGTATAAAAACTGTAGAAACTTTGTTCCATTTCTTGAAGAATCTGCTATACATAATGTTAATTGTCAAGTATTAAGATCTGTTAGCTCTTGGTCAGCCGGTTTTCTTGATTCAGAAACTTTAGAACAAAGTATACAAGAAGCCTATCTTGAAGCTATTAGTAAAGCAGAAAGGTAAAATTTATTTTTATAAATATCTAATTATAATTTAAAATAATTAATAATGTTACTACACATTAATGAATTTTCTATTCAAGATATATATATATAGAAAATCAATTTTTTATAACACTTGTATCTATGGAACGAACCACAGTAAAAAATCGCATAGGAGAAACATTATTCAAACGAATCTTAAGAGCACATCGAGAAGGTGCGGTATTTAGAGTATTTGTGGTAATGCCTTTATTACCAGGTTTTGAAGGAGAAGTTGGAGGTCCAACTGGTACTGCCTTACGTGCTATTACACATTGGAATTATGCTTCTATATCAAGGTAAAAATTATATTATGAAACGAATGAAAATAATAAATAAGAATGAAAGATATAGAAATTGAAATCGGAATCATTTGAATTATAAATAGGGGTAGAGATGCTATCCTAAATCGATTGATTGAAGCAGGAATAGAAGATCCTAGTGAATATATTACATTTCATGGCTTAAGAGCGCACGCAATGTTGAATGGTACACTAGTAACAGAATTAATTTATGTTCATAGCAAATTATTAATTGTAGATGATAGTACTGTTATTTGTGGTTCTGCTAATATTAATGATAGAAGCATGATAGCAACGAGAGATAGCGAAATTGCAGTAATAATTCATGTAAGAAATATTAACAATGTCAAGTATATAATTTCTTATTATTTCAATATTAATTATTTTATAATTTTAGGATCAAGAATTCGATGAAGGAAGAATGAATGATATTCCGTTTCCTTGCGGTAAATTTGCAGGATCTTTACGAAAACAACTATTTTCTGAACATTTGGGATTATTTAAAACAAATGAAGATATAGATATAACGGATATAATTAAAAAATCATTCTATAAAGACATTTGGTGTGCAAGAAGTAATCGAAACACAGAAATTTATGAAGAAGTATTTCATTGTATTCCCACAGATAAGGTTGTTAATTTTTCCATGTTAAAGCAATATCAAGATGAAGAATCACTTTCTTCATTAAATCCAATTTTAGCTCAAGAAATGGTAGACCAAATTAAGGTATAAATAATATAAAATATGTTAATAAATATTATTTTATTAATTTTATCTTTTTTTCATAATTTTATTTTAGGGCCATATAGTAAATATGCCATTAAAGTTTTTATGTAATGAGGATTTAAAACCAGCAGCTGGTACTGTAGAAGGAATAATGCCAACAGCATTGTGGACATAAATTATTGGTACTTGAATTTTTACTAATGGAATGTTAATCAATAATTATAATATTTTTGCAGATGTAAATAAGTTAATTTAACTTTTAATATTTTACTGACCAAAGTACAAACAATCACAATGTTTGTGATTAGATATTTTATTATATCCACAAAAGAAATACAAATATGTTAAAATTAAGATTGCTATATGATATTTTTATTAAAAAGCATTTAATAAGTAGCAATAATTTAATTCAATATTGATATTCGTGGTGTTGATTTATTTATAAATATTTTTGCAATTCTAATTTCACTTTAAAAATATGATTGTCAATTGATTGAAAATAGAGAAAAAAATGAATTAAATGTTAGTAAGAATATGAATCAAAAAGATATTTAAATTATTAATTATATTTCGAAATAATTATAATTACATTTCAACATTCCATAAAATCTACCTCTTTTAAAAAATGCAATATTATAGAATAAATGTTATTAATTTAAATACAATTCTATTTCATCATTTAACGTACTTAAATATTTTATATTATAAATTAAAAAATAATTATGCTAATATTTAAACTTTCACAATGTGCCTCTTTTTGAAAAATTGATTTTTATATGAATATGATTTTTATTTTATGAATATTTATTTGTATATCAAATGATACATGAAATAAATGATATTATTCTTAGATTTTCCTATATTTTTTCTTTCTGTTCTAAACGCATTGTGAATTAAATGTATGATGAAATTAAATTTTTTGAATAGAATAACTCTTATTATATGCATAGTAAAATTTATCTAAACTAAAAATTTCTTGATATATTGAAAAAATATATATATTGATATATTGAAAAAATTGATATATTGAAATATTAAATCATTAAGAATTTACTATCTAAGAAATTAGAAGTTTGATAAATTGTTAATTAAAATTAAATATTCTACTATATTCATATATTTCAATCTAAAATTATTTGTTAAAACGCCATTGTCGTTTTTTCTTGAATTCGAAATATCAACTTATTATATTAAAATATTATGAAAACTTACCTAATTTTTAAGTTATTTTCCCATAGGTATGAAGCCAGCATTTACTATCATGATATTTTTCTTTCTTGAAGCACTTCATCACATATTTACACATTTCACAAAAAATTTTTGAAGATCTCACTTATTAGAATCTTTTCGTGTCGCGTGAAGTCGTAAAACTAATTGAAATCAAATTTTACTTTTGCGCATCTTCTTGCGCATCTTGCGCATCTTTTTACACATCTTGCGCATCTTCTTGCGCATCTTGAGCATCTTCTTGCACATCCTGCGCATTTTCTTGCGCATCTTGCACATTTTGCGCATCTTTTTGCGCAACTTAGGCATCTTCTTGCATATCTTGCACATCTTTTTGCGCATCTTGCGCATTTTGCGCATCTTCTTGCGCATACAAGTAAGAAACATTTATAAATCCAAATATTTTTTTTATAAATTATTCTGTTAGATATTAAGATATTTTTAATAAATTCAATAAATTATAAAATTAATAATCAATATATAATATTAAAATTTAAATATTTCATATTTGTTCAAAAATTATAAACAACTATTCGTGTTATCGATATGCCCGCCAATTCATGATTTATTTTAAATAATATTTATATAGTAATAAAAGTAATTAAATATATATTTATATAGTAATAATTCTAAATTAATATTCGAAAATGTTATAACATTAAAATAATTATTATTATTTAAAAAATATTATTCTAATTTAAAATATAATATAAAAATTATATAAAAATCATTTTTTATATTAGTAAAAATTATATATCAATTATTCCATTCTTATTATTTTGTAAGAAATGAATTTTATCATTCTAAATATATAAATCAAAAAAAAATTTTAAAATTGTTAACTATTATCTACGAAATGCACTTATGACTATTTTATAACTATTCTTATATATTCTTTTTATAAAATGGCAATTAGAATATTTTAACACAGCTATAAATCGAAAATTAATAATATAAAACAATAAATCTAGTTTTAATTCGTAAAAATATATATTAATTATTATTTATAATGATATAATGAATTATTATAACCATAAATTAATAATAAAAATTTAAAAATTGTTAAATTATTGTTCACTATATTCGAAAAACTAATTTTAATATAATCGGCAAACGACGTATGTATTCGGCAGACTTCGCCACAGTTCGCCGCGACTTTCTATAAATACGAGTCAAGTTACGAAAAGCAATCATTTCTTATCGAATTTCTGTATTGAAAAGATCGATATTATAACACTTTGATTAAATTTTTTTAAAAAATTTTAATTGTTTACTTTTATAAAATTTATTTTAAATTAACATTTAATATTATTAATATATATTATTTACACATTTTATTTTTTAATATTTTTTAATATTCATTTATTGCTTTATTTATTTGATTACTTTTACATAATTTAATTTAATTTATTTAAACATTTATTAATTTTTAATTAGTTTTAATTAGTTTTAATTTTATTATTTAATTTAATTTTTTAATTATTACATTTTTTAATTATTACATTTAACGTATTTATTTATTCATTTATACTTCTATTTAGTAATTTACATTTTTATTTTTAATTTATTAATATAT